TGCCGGCCTCAACAGTCCAATCTGCATCGACCCCAGTCATTGCCAAAGACCCTGCCGTCACTACGATTCGATCAAAACGCCATAGAAAGTAGAATTGTTTGTTATTATTGTATGTCGAGTATTCCTTATTACTGATTCACTGTAGTATACACTTTTTCAATTTAGTTTTACCTCAGAAACTCATAATTATTACGCTACCTACGAATTAATTTTGTTTTCTTTTATATGTAAACATGTCAATAAGTAAAATATTAAAATCCTTATGTCTAATCAAAACTGTCAACTAAATGTCAAGTGTAGTGTTATTGTTTATCATGTCAAGTTTAAATGTCGTTGTCTGTGTTCATTAGTGTTGTCAGTACGTAAAATAATCACTTTAGAGACGTTCCGTTGCACATTCATTGTTTTTTTTTTTTTTTTTGTTTTGTTTATGCATATTATATCAACCTTTAGTTGAGAAAATTTAATATGTAAAAATATTAATTAGAGATCTTTATGTGCAGGTAGATAATATTTTAAAAATTGTTAATTAATTTAAATTTTTTAAAAGTTATATTTATTTAGTTATTTGTTTATTATATTTAATAATTAGTATATAAATATATGTTGGAAGAACATTACTCTTCATTTTCGAGTTCGACATCTAGTTATAATTCTACGTATAATGATTTTATTCCCCTTCTCATTAAGGGGAATAAAATCATTATACGTAGAATTTAAATATTAACTTTGAGAATACTGTAAAAAATTTTAATGTGGTGCATATTAATGCTCAAAGCATTCCGGCCCATTTTCCTGATTTTCTAACATCTTTTAATGTCGAAAATTTACATGCTATCTTAATTTCAGAATCATGGTTAAAACCTTGTCTTCCATCTGTCTCCTATTCCTTGCCCGGTTTTAACCTAATTCGTAATGATCGTGTCAAGGGGGGTGGTGGTGGAGTTGCCATTTATCTTCGTGACTATATTTCTTATAAAATTATCCTCTCCTCTGATATATCCAACCCTTCTCTAGAACCAGAATTTCTTTTTATTAATGTTGATTTCTTGCACTCTAAAACTCTTTTAGGTGTTTTTTATAGTCCCTCATGTTCCATTGATTATTTCTCTTTCCTTGAAAACACCCTCGAAAATCTTATCCCCTCCTTTCATCATACTATTATTATGGGCGATTTCAACACATGTTTACTCAAAACTGACTACCGTGCTAACCGCCTTAGATCTCTTGCTGATTCCTGTAATCTGAATATTCTACCTCTACAGCCGACTCACTTCTTCCCAAACTGTAATCCTTCCCTATTAGATCTTCTGTTTGTCTCCTCCCTTAATCATGTTGCTAGGCATGGTCAGTGTCCTGCAGATGCGTTCTCCTACCACAATCTCATTTATCTTTCTTACAAAATCCGTCCTCCTAAACCTAAACATAAAGTCTTAATGCGGCGTAGTTTTGGTGGCATTGATCAGGTAAGATTGCGTAACGATGCGTCTGCTGCGGACTGGGTGGCTATTCACAATGCAACATCAGTGGATGACCAAATTAGATTATTTAACTCGCTTTTATTGGAACTCTACGACCGACATGCTCCTGTTCGTCCAGTACGGGTTAAACATCTCCCTGCTCCGTGGTTGACAGATGAGATCAGGGCTCTGCAGGTTAAAAAAAATAAGGCCAAAGTGAAGTTCAGATCCAATACTGAGAAATATCGTGAATATTACATTCAAGCAAGGAATCTCTGCAATAGGGCTTGTAGGCATGCTCAACGTCGCCACATTCACAAATCAGTAGAGAATGGTGATCCAGCCAAAGTCTGGAAATTTCTCAGAACATTGGGAGTTGGGAAAGCTCAAAATTTGACAAACTGCGATTTAGACTTCGAAAGCCTTAACAGGCACTTCTGTTCTTCCGTTGACTTTGACAACAATGATAAATTAAGCACACTAAATGTTCTTTCCACTTTGTCAACTCCTGATATTTCTTCCTTTTCTTTTACTCAATTTTCCGATTGTGATGTTAAGAGAAACATATTTGCTGTATCGTCGAATGCCATCGGTAATGATAACGTCAGTCGTGATATGATAATTCCTATCCTTGATATCATTCTTCCAACCATTACTTTTATCTTAAATTTTTCTATATCATCTGCCATCTTCCCGACCTCTTGGAAAGACGCGCTTATAATTCCTCTCTCCAAAACCAAAAACCCGCTGAATTTTTCAGACTATCGACCCATTTCCATTCTTCCATTCCTCTCCAAAGTTTTAGAACGGCTTGTCCATAAACAAATATACAATTTCCTTTCTACAAATAATCTTCTAAATCCTCTTCAATCTGGTTTCCGTCCTGGTCATAGCACGACTACAGCTCTGATCAAGATTACCGATGACATTCGACTTGGTATGGACAAATCGCAGCTGACAGTGCTAACATTATTGGATTTCAGTAATGCGTTCAATACCGTAGACTTTGACATCATACTCAGTTTGCTACGTACTCTTAACATATCTCCAACGGTGATTGAATGGTTTCGTACTTACCTGTATGGGCGCCGGCAGTGTATTCGTATTGATGATATTAGTTCATCCTGGTGTACAACGACTGCGGGCGTACCTCAGGGTGGCGTATTATCTCCTCTTCTCTTCACTTTATTTATCAATTCTATCACACTTCATCTTCGTTCATCCTACCACCTCTATGCAGATGACCTTCAAATTTATTCACAAGCTGATCTGCCTAATATTAGCGATGCTATTCACGATATAAATCTGGATCTCGCCTATATATCTGATTGGAGCAAAGCTTATGGCCTTATATTAAATCCTAAAAAAACACAGTGTATAATTATTGGAAGTTCATATTTTACTTCTAGATTAGACTTCAATCATCTACCACCAGTTACCTTTGATGGCCATGACATTAAATATTCCGTTCAGGTCAAAAATCTTGGAATTCTTTTTGATGAAAATTTGTCTTGGTCACCACAAATTTCACAGTTGAGTCGGAAAATGTTTGCAGCCGTCGGAAGCATTAATAGGTTGCGGAACTTCCTACCAGTGGATACCAAAACTGCGCTCGCAAATTCCTTGTTACTTCCAATCCTAGATTATGCGGATTCCTGCTATGTAAATCTCACTGAAGAACAATTAAATAAACTTGAGCGACTCCAAAATATGTCCATACGATTCATATTTGGTCTCCGTAAGTATGACCACATTTCCAATTTTCGCAATCAACTCAAGTGGCTTCCCATTCGTCTTCGCAGGAATTTTCACATACTATGCCTTCTTTACACCATTCTTTTCCATCCCTCTACTCCAGAATATCTAAAAACAAATTTTTTATTTCACTCTAAATCCCCCGGTTCTGCTTTGCGTAGCACCAGAAGCCTTTGTCTGACGATCCCTGCTCACTCCTCTACATATTATTCCAACTCTTTCACTGTCCAAGCCATTCGCCTTTGGAACTCTCTACCACTCTCCATTCGATCCGCTCAATCTCATACAATATTTAAAAATCGTCTAAGGTCTCATTATCTGTCCCTATAGCAATTTTTTTTTTTTTTTCCTATTTAACTTTGAAATCTTCCAATATGTTGAATATATGTATGTATGTTTATTTATATATATATATATATATATATGTATATGTATATGTATGTCTATTAATTAGTTTGATAATTATAGTGTCTTGTGTGTGCCATCTACCTCTTCTGTGTATGTTAGTCCTATCTTGCAGGTTGTCTGTAAGAAATTGCTTATAGCGATAAGACCGCCTTTTGTTCATAATTTTCTATTTATTGTTTTTGTTTTCTTATTGTATTTCTTCTATGTGCACAATAAAGAGTTTATTATTATTATTATTATTATTATTTTGGTATATGTACCGTATATATTCATATGCATGTAGTAAAAAACGGTTATTTCAATATTACAAACAGACACTCCAATTTTATTTATATGTATAGATAAAACAAAGTCACCGCTAATTTCTATACACTTGGCTCTTCTTTCTTAGTTCTTATTAGTCTCTCATTCGTTTTCAGCAATAGGTTCAATTCAAGAAAAGGGTTTATATGTATAATATATTACATTAAAACCGAGTGAAGCCAGGCATGTTGCTAGTTAAAGAATAAAAACATTTCATCTGTATGACGGCCTCGGTGGTCTAGCGGTTTAGCACACCGCTTTACTTCCGATGGAGGCGGGTTCGATTCCTCGCACAGTGCAAACATTTGTATTATTGAGCATAAGTATTTATATTCATCTGGATGTTTTCTATGTATATTGTGTATGTATTTACAAATAAAAATATCTTACAGTTGTCTAGTACCCGTAATACAAGCTCTGCTTACGGTGGGACTGGATGCTGTATTAGTTGTTCAGCGTTATTTATAAAGGTTATTTATTTATAATATTTACTTCTTTTATTTATTTCAGACTACTAGCGCCATATTATAAATAAGGTATTTGTAATATGGTGCTATCATCTAACATACATATGAAATTGTCTGTGTGATCACGGTGATCACTGACGACGGGAATCTGGCACGGTAGCGCCAATACACCACACCCTTTGGCCAGTTCTCCTTCATAAAGGTGGTCAGCATGTTGATGTGGGGACCCGGGCCACAAACGCCTTGAAACTCGCGTTGTGCCTCGATTCCAGCTGCGTCACCCTCGTTTTGGTGTGTATTGAATGATTCTATATGTATTTAAAAAAATATACTAATCGTTATCAGAAAGATACGTGCACCCACTTTCTTTCGACAACTAGAATTATATTTATTGCGAGTTGTTTATCAAAATCTTGGAATCAATTATCGCTGACATGAATATTAAATAGGTAGATTCAAATATTATAATACTTTGTTTGCTTTATCAGTTTATTAGATATTAAAATAATGATTAGATATTGTTATAATAAAGGTTTGTACAATTTAATACTACATTTTATTAATATTGTAATAGAATTTAGTCTCTTTAATAACAGCATATGTAAAAATGTTAAGAATATTTATTTGTGTTACGTTATTACTGTGTGTTAAAGCAGATGAGAGTTTATTTAGTTTGAATATACTTCACTACAACGATTTCCATGCCAGGTAAGAGTTTTGCAAGTGAATATATTTTATATTATATATTATCTATATTAAATAACAATTCTAGTGTTGTTTTAATTATATAGTTTCACTAGCTACTCGCCCCGGCTTCGAACGGGTGTACATGTATTATTTATATATAAACCTTCGTCTTGAATCACTCTATCTATTAAGAAAAACTTCTTCAAAATCCGTTGTGTAGTTTTGAAGATTTAAGCATAGGGATGGACAGACAGCGACAGCGACTATGTTTTATACTATGTAGTGGTAACAATTCTAGTGTTGTTTTAGTTTCATTTTAGTTTAAATATATATAGGTTGAAAGTAAATAAAGTCATATTTCGAATATGACTTTATTTACTTTCAACAAACCATACATATCGCCACAGTTAAGAGAACATAGAGAACAAGATAATCTGGGAAATTTATGGTGCTGTTTTGAATTTTCCTAGTATTACTGGTTTATTTAGGTAATGTCTGATGAAATTATCTTATCTCTGGTTTACACTAAATTCTAGTATCAATCTGTGCTACTGACGTTACATACAATCTTATTGGAACAATGGAAACGAGAGCTGAGTATCGTTTCAGCTCTTCTCACCTGAAATCCGCACTGATTATAAATTTGAATTTTTATAAGTGTCTATAATATAACTACAAGAATAAATAGATGTCTTGATTAGATTTAAATTATTAAAGCATTTATATGGAACATAATTTTATATATCTTCTCTTTATTAGAAAAGAGTTTTTATTATTACTACAATACACAGCTTACAAAGCAGGCAGCTTTGCAGCTGAAGTAGTTTAGATTGAAATTGAATTAGACTAAATATATTTTAAAATTAAAACATGTACCTTAATATTTGAAGGTTCGTAGAAACCAGTCCTGCAGGAGGAGTCTGTAACCCTCAAAATGACCCATGCGTTGGAGGATTTTCAAGACTTACAACACTGGTACGAGAAAGAATAGCAGAGGAACCCAATTCATTACTCTTAAACGGCGGAGATAGCTTCCAAGGAACGATCTGGTTCAACATTTTAGGATGGAATGTGACTCAAGAATTTATGAACTTATTACCACATGACGCTCATGTAAGTAATGGGAGAATTCAGTAATGATAAGTCGATGCAGGTGTACTGATTTTTAATTCACTTTGAAAATATATATTTTTTTTTTAATTCACTTTCAACTCCAGATTATTTGCGTATCTGAATTATTCACACTGATAATATTTTGTATTCCTCGTCCGGTCGTCTTGGCTGCCTAGCATCCTGCCCTTCTCCTATCCAACCTTATCCTATGAGTATCCATCAAGAAAGTACGAATATTTAATGAAAAAAGAGAATTCACTCGATTGTGTTGTGTGTCAAAAAGTCGAAGATGTCCAGCACCTCTTGATGGAATGTGATAGGAATAGAATAGAGAGGGAATTATTTAATTAAGATTTTGAAATCAACAAATTTGAAGTGGGTAATATTCAGAGCATACTACATGCCCCTACTGCGTTTGTGTGCGCTGATAAAAGCAACTTAATAAATAGATCCCTCGCAGTTGACAATTATTTGATTGTTTATTATTTTTAAGAATTGTTCCGATTAGTTTGCAATAAGGGGTTCACATGTCTGAAAACAAAACGTCCAAAATAAATCTACATTAAAAAAAAATCGTAAAAGTAACTTCAGTCAAATCATCATTACTTAGTATAAAACAAAGTCGCTGTCGCTGTCTGTCCGTCCCTATGTATGCTTAAATCTTTCTATCTATGCAACGGATTTTGAAGCTGTTTTTTAAATAGAATGATTCAAGAGGAAGGTTTATATATATAATACAAACATACCCGTGCAAAGCCGGGGCGAGTAGCTAGTTAAAGATAATTAAAAAACGAATATGCAATACACAAGTGTCTTCCCATAAGAGCAATGTGTTTATTTAATCAAATTAGATGTTATTTTGCGGAAGTCCATTTCACCTACACATGTTAATTGTAGCGGAATTAAACAAAACAGTATAAATCCATCTAGTAGTTACTGCTGAATGCAATGCAAAGGTTTTCTTTATTTCAAGACTTCCCTATACTAAAAGGAAATAAGAACTTGTTTACTTTGATACGTTTATCTATGACGCGCTCTTATTTATACAGAATTTAATGATTATAAATCATCAAACTAATTCAATTATCAATAAATTAATTATTATTCTCAATTTATTATTGTTTTAACAAATTAATATAAAATAAAAATAAAATTGTACCACGTTTTTCTTTTTATTAGCACAGGACTCCGTCATTTGAATAGAATGATCGTCGTGATATAAATTTTATATATTGTTTTTGTCCTACTAGCAGTTAAAACCACCATGGACATGGCCCAACCCTTTTAAGAATCCTAATCTTCTAGATTAAGCGATTGTTTTATGATTGCTCTAAAAGAAACAGTTTACAAATAAGATGTTGTAAGGCTAGTTAAAACAGTCAGACCATCAAACCATCAGACAGAAGTATCTACGCAAACTATGTACTTCGTACGAGATTAAGTTAAATAGTATAATTTAGTCATATACATAGTTTTAATTTAGTTAAGTCAGTTTGTTGTTATTTCATTGTTTATAATTTCATTTTGTTATTTTATTATTTATAATTTAATGTTATTAATTGACAATGAATTGGTTTTCTTTCTTTCTTTACCTCTGAAAAATAATATTTTTAATTTGTTACAATTTCTTTAATTACAGGTACTAGGCAATCATGAATTTGACAAAGGTATCGAAGAAGCTGTTCTTTATATAAAGAATTTAAATTCAACTGTGGTTACTGCAAATATTATTGACGATGAAGAAGAGTCGATACAGGGATTGTACAAACCGAGTGTTGTTATCGAAAGAGAAGGACGCAAAATTGGTATAATTGGTGTCATAATTGCTATTACTAATGTACGTATAATTCTAATATATATCTATTACCGTCGTTGATCTATCTTCTCTGCAAATCTCTTACGTATAGGCAACGAGAGTCAAGTATCATCAGCTCCTTCATTCAGTTCTTATAGATCTTAAAGGCCTCGTGACTTCATCATGGTTTATTTTATTTAATTGGAATAGTAAACAAGCTGACGGCAACGATGGTAAGCTGTAACCGTTGTCTATTGATAGTAGGTTAATGTTATATAGTCTATAATCTTTAACCTTATTCTCAATAGGCTAACACTGAATGAAATTTCAAAATCGGTTCAGTAGTACTGGAGATTACTCTAAACATCTAAACTCACAATCTTTACCTCTTAAGATTAATATACATGATTTAAAAAAGAGTTAATAATGTTAAAATAATAATTCTAACTTCAAATTATTAATATGTTTCTGTATCTTTTCCCAGGAATTAGCATCAACAGGACGACTAAAATTCACAGATGAAGTAGAATCTGTGAAACGCGAAGCTCAGAATCTTCATGATAAAGGAGTCGATATTATTATAGTATTATCACACAGTGGAATAGATACTGACAGGTTATTGTTTCAATAATTTAATGATAATCGTTTTTTATGTGACTGGAATTGCAAACAAGTTGACGATGGACTGATAGTAAATGTCAACAATCGTCTATATATGGTATAAGACCACAATGGACATTGTAGTAGAGGCAATGTGGTGCTTATAGTTAGGTTAATTTTATTGAAAGTAGAGCCGCGGCCGGACACCACCGGTACTTAGTGTTCCACTGGGGGCCCGGTATGTTGGCGACCGACCGCCAAACTCCTTTGATATTATTATTATTTTTAAATTTATATATTTTTAGAACAGTTCTTTTATGTTTATGTTCTTGTAAATGTGTGTGTAATGTAATGATACTCATGTATTACCATTCTAGAGTACTAAAGGATTATGCTCTGTAATTTCACTATCATATGGGATAAAGAAATAAAGAAAAGTTATTGACGGCCTTGGTTGTCTAGCGGTTTAGTATAAGCACTTCGTGGGTTCAATTCCTTGTACGGCACAAACATTTGTATTCATAAGTATAGTCGAGTGTTTTATATGTGTGTTTTTACAAAAAAAAAAATCTATGTATTAGTATCAGTTGTCTAGTACTTATACCACAACATCTGTCAATGTTGGGACTAGATTGCGCTTTATAAAATTGCCCTACGATATTATTGTATTACTAGCTACTCGCCTCGGCTTCGCCCGGGTATTATACATATAAACCTTCCTCCTGAATCACTCTATCTATTAAAAAAACCGCTTCAAAATCTGTTGCGTTGTTATAAAGATTTAAGCATACATACATAGGGACGGACAGATAGCGAGAGCGACTTTGTTTTATACTATGTAATGATTAATGACAATAAAGATTATGTAACTAAAATGTTTAGAGAGATAGCTGCAAATGGTGGACCACATATAGACATTATAGTTGGAGGTCACAGTCATACGTTCCTTTATGATGGCGAACCTCCGGATTCAACTGTCTTGACCCCACAAGGACCATATCCTGTAGTTGTAGATAACAACGGGAAAAAGGTAATCATATTATATAATAGTAATGTAAAGTAGAAGCAATTAATTTTTGTGTGTCTGTCTGTAAACTCAATAAATAATTTCATTATTGGAATTTTCTCTAACTCTTTTATCTCTAACCTTCAAGGAATGTAAAAAATAATCCTGAATTGTGCTAGTCTTCTTGTAATAAAAAACTACTACTAGCTACAGACTTTTATTAAAGTAAATAGAGTTGTATAGTAGGAACCACTCCTTATTATGGTATTAAGCGCTCTGCGTATTTATTTAATTATTATTAATTATTCTTAATAATTATACTTCAAATTATACAAGGTTATTATTTATTATCAACTAGCTAACCCGTGAAACTTCGTCTGCATCACACTTACTTGACGTTATATTTCGCCCAATTTACATAACATCTTTTTAAATTACATCCTATATGTATGTCATTATGATATATAAGCTATATTACTGTGAAGTTTCATCAAAATTTGTTCAGAAGTTTTTGCGTGAAACAGTAACAAACATTCATCCGTACTCACACACATTCGCGTTTATAATATTAGTAAAATATATTAATAGATTAAGCAAATATTGTACCCCCTTTTACGAATATTGCGTGAACAGAGGCATATGAAATTTAGCACACTTATAGTCTATATAGAGGTGGAGTCCAGGATGCTAATATTTTTTTTATAATTATCAATAAAATTTACATTAACAATACATGAAATTTCAGGTCCCGATAGTGCAAGCAGCGGCACATCTTCTATATTTGGGTGAAATTAAATTGTACTTTGATAATGCTGGAAATCTTGTAGAGTGGAATGGTAAACCACATTACATCGGCAACGAAATTGTACAAGGTAGATATACTTTTATTAATTCAATTATGTTAGGTTCCCTAACATAAACGTGGAAACGTGAAGTTAAATCAGCTATATCTTTTCATCCATCCACGTTCATATAAAACACTTTCTTTATTGCTAGCAACAAATATTTTTATTTATTTTAGTTTATGGCACTAAGGCACATAAACACACAAGTGGCATAGGGTGGAACCATTGATTGTCTAGGTCTTTGGTTTTGTCCACGATTTGCATAACATACGTTGCTCAATGTAATTCATTATATGTAAGTTCTTTAAATATAATAAGTTTGGTCCAGAAAGGTTGTTTGTAATAATAATAATAATAACTACGTTATCAACATTGGTCCTTCGAGCCGGATCTGGCACAACGACCGATGAATTCTTTAAGACATCGTTCTCGCTCCTCCCTTTAATATGCCCACATCATTTCGAGTGTCATACGAGATAGGGTTGGCAGACACATTTTCAATTGTCCATGTCACGGCGAACCTTGTTTCATAATTTTTGTTTTTACAGCTGAAGATGTTCTTGCAAAGATTAACTATTATCTTCCTTTAATTGAGGAGAAGGCTAATGAAAAAGTTGGGTCCAGTCTGGTACACCTGTCTTCTGATTGTGCATGCAACGAGTGCAATCTTGGAAACGTAATTTGTGACGCATTTTTGAACTCTGTAAGTACAATATAGCCGTATAATGTACATGTATCAGCAGTAAGTGGAGGAAAATAATTTCGAGAAAATTGTTCGTTTAAATGTAAGAGCAATTTTATAAAATATAATTCTCTTTTTTCTGTATAAAAAATTATTTCACTGTAAACGTCATGAACGCAACAATTCAGATGTCTATCTCGTTGAGAATATCCGATATCCAACATGGTTGAGCTCAAACCTTCCACTGTGTAACATTTTAAATAATAGTGCAATATAAAGACAAATTTTGAATAAAAATGACTTAATTAAAATGATTTCTATTATTATTTTAATTTAGTTGTTTAGTAGTTGGTGTTTCTATAACGAAAAGTGCTCATTTATTATAAAAAAAAATGGATAAATTGGTACACAAAGTTTTATCATATCGATTAACTTTAAATTACTAGTAAAGATCGATGCTATCTATTACCTGCTGTAGTTTGCAGAAATGACAATATTGTGAAATAAAAACCAGATATAGTCACTGGCCAATATCTTATTTAATAAAATATTTAACTATTGTTTAACTTTCTAATTACTCTACCAAAGTAGATTATGTAAAATGTTATCTGCTTGGATACCTCAGTTTCACCTAAAATAGGTTATAGGTTACTGCTTATTTTACCTACGGCCCATCTTATGGTAAACGATTACCGTAATCTATACATGGAAGCCTGAAATTCCAGAGAGTCACGTGCCACTTGCCCTCTCTTAATAAACCTTAATACATCCTTATAGAAAAACTGAATGCTGTAGTCTTTAGGGAAAACCTTGGCAGATTCATTTCACAATCTAAGTGTACGGTGGAGGAAGCTTATATAAAACTGCACTGTCTGAGACCACTTAGGTTCCAGCGTGTGGGGATGAATTCCCTGTCGACGGCTAGCGAGCTTGCTTTGTGAGCTGTTTTAGCCTTTAGACTAAAGGGTAAAATATGGCAAGACAAGTGAAATACAATAAGGCAGTGAAATTGATAAAAGACATCTTACATCTACATGCATCTTAGTCTTTTCGAATATCTATAGCAATTTCTATTTCAATTTCATCTTTATACGTACTTTTGTGATTTGTAAATCCATTGTACAGGTATTAGAGAAAGCCAAGGGCGACAACTGGCATTATGCACACTTTTGCATCATCAACCAAGGAGGCATCAGGGTAGATATAGAAGCTGGAAGTACGTATATTTTCTTGAAGCGTAATTTCTTAATGTATTATGGAATGGTGCACTTGCAAGTGTGTTAATTTGAATGTACTTATTTTATGAGTTAGTGAGGAGAAATTGGTGGTTTTTCTTTAGACATGTAAACGTTTCTGCCCCTGAATTTGAATCCAACATGGAAGGCAGCGGACCTACCATCGTCCCTCGGATCAATTTTTGGTTTGTTACAAATATTTGCTTCTCCGGAGAGTTAAATATGAATCGAGACATCTGAATTCATAGCTTTTTGTGATAGGAAATTGCTTGGCTATGTCGCTCTGACATAACTCTCTAATTACTCTACCAAAGTAGACTTTGTAAAAAGTCCTCTTCATGGATACCTCAGTTTTAACTATTTTATCCGCCAAGAGGCTGTTTTTCGTAGTAAAACAAGCATACTTCTCATCTGATGGTATGCGGTCATAATATAAATGGTGACAAATAAGCCTAATAGTTCTGTGTTAATAAATAATTTTGTGTTTGGATAATGATTTTCCTCATATGTCTTCCATGTACAGACATAAATTATATACATTTTCATAATGTGTATAAAAATATAATTTGTATTTTTATGTGTTTTTTTTTCAGACGTTACCTTCGAATCTGTAATTATGTCAACACCTTTTGACAATAACGTGGAAGTTTTTGATATGAGAGGTGATCATATACTTGAATTGTTGGAATATTCCGTTGCAAATACACCGTTTCTCGGCGCTAGGATGCTGCAAGTATCAGGTACAGTATTTAGATATTAATATGTGAAGGAAAAACTTTATACCCCTTTTTACGATAATTGCGCGGACGAAGGAGTATGAAATTTAGCATATTCATCTAAATATATATAACTCAAAGGGGACTGATATAGTGATCTATCAACGCACAGCCCAAACCACTGAATGGATCGGGCTAAAATTTGGCATGCAGGTAGATGTTATGACGTAGGCATCCAGACGTAGAAAGGATTTTGATTAATTCTACCCACAAGGGGATAAAATAGGGGATGAAAGTGTGTATGAAACTTTGTCAATTTTAATCCGATCAGGCTAAGACTTTGCATGCATAAATCTACTATGACGTAGGCATCCCCTAAAAAATGATTTTGATAAATTCCACCCACAAGGGGAAAAATTAACGCGAGCCAAGCCGCGGGTAAAAGCTAGTAGTTTATATAGAGAAAAAGTGCAGAATGCTAATATATTTTTTAAATCATTCATATAAATACATTAAATCTATAAAAAATAATTTATTCAAATAAACTTACATGGATGCATTTTTTATAAAAAAACTATTACGCACACTACACCATGTATTTGCCACATACACGAATTTCCTTTTCTGATTATTTTTAAAGTCTATGGTCAAATTGAAAATAAATTAAAATTGTTTGTTTTTAAACTAAGTTATCATCACTTAAAACTGAGCGGCCTCCGTGTACGACGAGCGATCTGGATCGGAGATGCCCCGAGTCGCGTCCCGAGTTCTCTTGATCTTTCCAGTGGAAAAATAAATAATTTTTATACTAGCATTTTCTACATTTTTATTACCACTTACCGTCAGAGCATCAGCTTATTTGACATTCCATTTACATAAAAAATAACTATAGTGGTACCAAGAAATGACCTCTCAATCCTGGAGTAGCGGGTTTTCAACTTATTTAATTTTTATTTAGAATTGTACACATGTTTGAAACATAATATTTAATCGATATTTCGACGCTATTATTGACGGCTTGATTACGAGTTAGGAGCCTATAAATAATATTATCTATACATAAGGTCTATATTTCGTTCATATAATATGTATAATAGATTTTTTAATTTTTATGCAGGTCTTCAACCGCAGTTCGACGGCTCTCAACCAGTTAACAGTAGGGTTGTCAGCGTTGGTGTCAGATGCATCGATTGTGACATCCCTAAATACGAGAGTTTGCAACCCGATAAATATTACAAAGTCGTATCGCAGAGTTTTATCGGCAACGGAGGCGACGGATTCACTGTAAGTGACAACCCTTAACCCTAATTTACATTACAAGTCACTCGAAACTGCACACTTACGATTTATTTGCGTTGGTGAATAGTCATACCACACTTGATGGTAAGTACCATTATCTATATATACGAAGAGCACTATGGACTTAAGAAGAAGAAGAAAAACATTTATTGACAACCATTATTCATATAAATACACATTTTCACATTTATATATATATATATATATATATGCACACTCACACATACACATATATATATACACATACATACATTCTTGCCATTCCATGCTTCATGTATTGCCATTCCTGTGGACAAAAAAGTCATCTTACAAATATGGTATGTATTATAATAGAATTAGAGATTAATTTTCATTACGAAAGTATAATATTAATACACACATACACATACACATAAACGTACAAACAAATAAAAGATACATTAAGTATACTAATAAGTTTACATGTAAATTAAAACTGTAATCCTTATGATTTTGGGAAGAAACTGTTTGGGAGTCAGGACTGCATCACACTATACTGATGAAGGTTTTAGAATGAGAAAAATGATGAAGTATTCAATGAATAAATATTATTATTATCATTATCTCTCTGTGTAGAAAGAATAAAATAAATCCTTTTAAGCCTACTTCGATTTATATTATAAAAATATCTATTAATTATTAAATACTATCTATGTACCATGTATCCATGTACCGGACTGGCATTCGCCATTGTTAATGCTCTTTTTTATAGTTTTGGTAATGACAAATAAAACATGATAAGATCTCATCATTCTCTTAATGTTATATGTTACTTATAGTTAACAGAAAAAAAAATCTTATAAGAGGTTGTTCATGTATTCATCCTGAATCATTTCAGGATGAATACAAGAACAGCCTATAAGAATAATAATAAATGAAATTTACTATAACATATTTTATGATATTTGAAACAATAATAAACGAATTTAGTTTTTAGTGTCGGTAGTTGGTACCGCGACGTGATACCTTTGGTTTTTCAGGCGTCTATAGGCTAACCGTTCATCATCAGATGGGCCGTAGGTTTAATTAACACCTACGTAATATAAAAAAAAAATTCTTATCAGTACGTCACGAATGAAGCTACAGTAGGAGAATTATATCATAACTGATATAATGAGCTACCGTAATTATCTAATCTAATCTAAAAATCGTTATCGTTATATGAATAACGATATTTAGATTTGAGATGTCTATACAATAATTGCTTAATCATACGATATGTTCGTGGATACCATTCATTTTTTACATAACAGTATTCTCGTATTTTCTTGGTTCAATTAGAATTTGCATGATATTGTATCCATAATGCGATAGACAATATCGACAAGATTGAAATTATTTTGCGATGTTATAATATTGATCTGCGAATTCAAATATTAGGGCACAATGCGCAAATATTATAGGTTACTTTATATAAAGTTTATATGTTTATTCGTTTGGGGTAATCTCCAGATTTTTTTCGGATTACTCTAATGTTGTTGGTCGCAGCTTATCTTTACAGCTTCACCCTATAATAGGGGGCGAGTGCAGATGGCAGTCCAAATCTGCGGAAGGACTTAAGGAGCGGTTGAAGGCTAACTACCGCCTGACGGATATGATTTTAGTATGAGGGCACCAGTAGGGACTATAACCTCGGCTCAGGCCGTCGTAATTTCGATCCCCAATTGAATGGGATAGGGTTTGATCGGAGGTGTGTAATCTCCAGTTTTGCTAATCCGATTTTAAAAATTCTTTCACTGTCAGAGAGGTTTACTATCCCCGAGTACTATAGGCATATAACATTATGCTAAGACCTTATAGGGTATTATAGGATAGGAATATTCATTTTGAGTGCTTCCGGTGCGTGCGCTGCGTAAATGGTTAAAGTTACGTAAAGAATATGTATGACGGAATTGTTCTCTTTTAAAAGTTCTCAAAAAAAGTCTCTAACCTTTTTCTAGTCTTTCCTTAATGGTTAAGTCACTATAACCTTTTTTATGGTAATCAAATTTCCTCTCTGAGTTTTAACCCAATTATATTTATTACAAACTAGCAAGTTTGTAATAAATAAAACTCTACTAAAATTGTATATTATTTATACACATATTTTTTAAATAACAGTGTAGAGATTGTATATTCGATTCTTTCATATGAGGCGAATATCTTATCCCATGTATTGGTCTTGCTGGAGCCAGGACCAAGCAAGAATTGTGTGTAATGTGTCTACTCCATGAGTACTCTGGTTTGAAGATAGATAGATATTATATGGTTTTCTTTATTTACAGATGGTATCAGACAACCGTATTAACGTAGAAGTTGTGGGTTTGGACTACGATATCCTGGCGAATTATATATCCAGAACCTCGCCACTCTTCAGCGAGGTCGATGGGAGAATACAAATTGATAATCCTTGTATCGAGTAATTGTATTAATAAAAAAAATGTAGTGTAAAGTTAACGTAATTTATTATTTATTACTATAATTTTATAGACACAATTATTCTATTATTTACTATTTTTTATGTAATCTTTAACTTATTTTGGGAAACAAGCTAAAGATATATCTGATACTAAATGGGAATATTCTCCTATGTATATGAATAGTACTATGAATCTTGCGTTATCACGTGACGCCCATGATATACGTTGCTATTCTGAAGAATTAAGATATCATGTTTGTTTTCCTATAACTTCAATGCTTTATGACCTTAAGTCGAAACATAAGTTACAAAGTAAGCTTTATAGCAGCTGAAATGTATGGGACCAAGATATCCATGCAGAAGACTTTTCAGATCTACCTCAATTCGTCTCTGCACACAATTTAATTTTGACTGGCAGTTAGACACCTCTACACACTTCCACTATGGAGTAATTAGATAGTAGAGGTCTTTATTAGATGGAAAACTAAATGACAAATATAACATACATATTAAATTTTACACATTTGTCAATTGTTTAGTCTAATTAAATACTTAGAGAAGTTTTCCCGAATATTCCCATAGGTACGAGAAGTAAATGAATCAACAGTGAACACAGCTAATTTTATTTAAATTTAAGTAGTGAAGCATATTTGAATAATTGTTTTTTTTAGTTTATTGCAGTAAATAAAGTTTTTTAAATAGTCGATTATAAATAAGATGTTAAAAAGGAAAATAAAATACTTTTTATTAATATTTGTAATTTTATTACTATCCATTATAATATATATGTACATGCAATAAATAAGGAATACGCCGATGTATGTACATCATAAATAAAAAAAAAATAGTATGGATTTCATTTTTAAGGCAATAACAGTTTTCAAAAGTTTTATCTATGTGTTTGTTGGTACACGTAGCACGATACTGCATGGAATTTAATCAAGTTTTCTTCGATGTATATAGGATCCCTAACAGTCTGCTGCGGTAACTCCGATTCACCATCTACCTTCATGTACCAATCTTCCTTGATGGGACTCGAGCCACAGACCCCTTGAAGCCCGCGCTGTGACTCGACTCCAGCTGCTTCGTGCTCAATGTCAGGTTACCCTTAGTCCGGATTTCAACAATGTTCTGTTCCTTGATGGTGTGTTTGTATGCAAAATAGGTACATTACTGTGGTCGGTTGGTTTCTTGCTCGTTCTTCTTTTGATGGAACAGCTTTCCGAATAAGCGGTAGATTAAATGACTATCCAAAAGTTTTAAAATTTAAGTTTATTTGTATAAAGAATTTTATATTCTAATGAAATGATGAATAACTACCAATGTGAAGCCAGGGCAGGTCATTAGTCTAAATATATATAACTCAAAGGTGACTGACATAGTGATCTATCAACGCACAGCCCAAATCACTGGACGGATCGGGCTGAAATTTGGCATTAGGATTTTGATTAATTCTACCCCCAAGGGGATAAAATACGGGATGAAAGTTTATATGGAACTTTGTTAATATTAAACCGATCGAGCTGAGACTTTGCATGTATAAAGCTACTATGAGGTAGGCATCCCCTAAGAAAGGATTTTGATAAATTTCACCCCTAAGGGAATAAATTAACGCGAACGAAGCCGCGGGCAAAAGCTAGTTTTCTATAAAACTGGTGTGTATGTAATACGATATCTTCGTTAAAACTAAACCTATTTCGGTAAGTTTTCTGTAATCGATAGGCACTACGCCCATGTTGCTTCTATATTTATTTTACCACGATTCGTAAGTTGGTTCTTTTGTGAAACAGTATATATTTGTGAAAGTACTAGTATATTTAATTTCACAAAGGAATCGACTTGAACTTTTAGAGGTATATATTATATACCACAAGACATCAATAAATAGATAATCTTTAATCAAATAAACTAAATATTAGCTATTTTGGATAGTTATATTTTGATGTTTTGAGTAGTCATGCTCATTAAAATGTCCAGACTTATGGCGGTGTGGTGGGCCGGGTCATTGGGCTCCCTAAAATATGGTCGAGCGCAGTGATGGCTGGCTCATCCGTCATACTCGTGAACGGGTGCTGCATGTAGGGACTGCTCTAATCACTATGACTGATTTCCTCTTATTAATTGTTTAACCAGTTGTTGTGTATTAAATATTTTTACTATTTGATTATTTAATTGAATTAGTGCTAATCGGTAGTTTGTATTTACACACTTAAACTTAAATTGTAAGTAAGAATAAAATTATTTAAAAGAGCAACACATAAGTTTCTTACTCGTTCTTCTTGTGATGAGACAGCTTTCCGAATGAGCGGTAGATTAAAAAAATGTGATGACTGTTCAAAAGTGCTTCAATGTAAGTTTATTTGAATAAATGATTTTCTATTCTATTCTATTCTGATTTTACCGCTCATTCAGAATGCTGACTCATCTCAACAAAAATAAGCGAGTAACTTGTGTGTTGCTCTTTTATGATAAATCAGTCATAGAATTCAAAGCAGATCATCCACATAACAGTTACACTGTTTTAAATTTGTCGCGGTCATTATTTTTACGTATTTATACGTAATTACGGGATCTTACTACTTCCTATTGAGAACTTAATAAAAATAAATAAAACATAATACGATATCGTTATTTTTCCCAATTACACGTATAGATATATAATAGATGGATATATAGTTTACAAAATGGTGGTGGAGTTTCAGAGATTATATATACACTGGCTAACCCAGCAAACGTTGTTTTGCAATATAAATTAAAAACGCTATTATAAATAGAGGTTGATGATAGAACAGCGAAAATTTTGGGTTTTATCTATTTTAATGCCACATAATAATCAAAATTAAAAATAATTTGCCCAAAAAAATGTTAGGGGTGGACAGCCCTTATCACTTAGGGGTACGGAAAAATAGATGGTAGTTGATTCTTAGATCTATAAATAAACATGTAAAATTACTCAAAAATCGGTCCAGGCTTTTCGGAGGAGTATGGTAACTAACATTATGACACGAGAATTTTATATATAAGACTAGCTGTCCCGCAAACGTTTTGCCTTAAAATAAAAAAAAAAATTAATGGTGGTCTACCCCTAACATTTAGGAGGATGAAATATAGATGTTGGCCGATTCTCAGACCTGCTCAATACGCACACAAAAATTCATGAGAATCGGTCAAGCCGTTTCGGAGGAGTATGGGAACGAAAACTGCGACACGAGAATTTTATATATAAGAAGATAAATCCCAAAAACCATTTCCTTTATTTTTTCAACAGTCCTCTAAAAATTCAAAGCGGCCATTTCAGTTGACACAACGGTAATGGCGTTAACAACAGTGGAGAGTCATTCCGTAACTGGACCGGGGATTACTCGGATTTAATACCACGGAATTATGCAGAGTTTTCACGGATTCATTGCTGAGGATCTACTTGGAGTGATATAGCTTAATTTAAACTATTGCCAGTAGTACTAGTGTTTTAATTGACCATAGAGACAATTAGGTTACCACTTTATTGAGATAGACTTTGTATGAAGTCGTTTATAGATATACAATATGATATTTTTTTATTGGGAGTTTGGCCTATTGTCAGGTCTGTAGCACTGCGACCTAAATGTGCTCGCCCTTCTTCAGAGTTCGGTATCTAGACCCGTCAGGGACAAGAATTGAAGGATATTCTTTGGAGCGGTTTTTATCACCTCAGGATAGAGTGTAAACTTTCCAAAGGAGATATTTCGTTTATGCATGCATGTGCTACAACCACATAGAACATGTAGTGGCGTTTCCTCTTCAGTTTGGCAAAATTTGCAGATTTTTGTTGTGTACAGGCCAAGGTTTGCTATTTATTCAACTTGCTCAATAACAATACTCTATTGGAGTATTGTCAATATATAGTCTCTCCTATTTTTACCGCCAAACAACTGGCTTTGTATCCTGTTTTATTTGGATGTTTTTATTTTAATTGATGATAATGGAACGGTGTGCATTAACTGTATACGCTGACGGGACATCAGTGGAGGATGATAGGATGAGAATGAGGTCCAGGTCAGTTAGCCCATCGTTATGAAATCATTTGGAATTAAGTACGATGGTTACCAGGGCGAACCGCGTGGAGATCGACCTGACTGGTATATTGCTAGCAATGGCGTCCTAGCTCCCATTACTAATAATTCCCTTCCCTCTCAGTTGAACGGTTAAATATAACAGTGAAATTATAGTGTACAGAGAAATGACAGCTTAGTCTACTGCAATGGCAGCACATGAAGTGTGTTACGGTCGCCAAATTTCGACAGACTGACCTAAGGTTCTGCCTGTGGACTGAAGTCGTATCCATCAAGTGGAAGTCGAGCCGCTGCTTAAACCCTCCTGTGGATTTAGTGTGTCATCTGCACTCACCCCTCTGTCGTCCGCTGAAGCTGTAAAGGCCAGCTGCGGCCAACGGCATCAGAGTAGGCTGAAATAAAAACATAGGTACCAATATGTAACTTCATACTAGAACTCAGTTTACAGAACAAACTGCTATGCCTGTAATAAGCCAGGCAAACTAAAATACCATCTTAATCATCTGGATCAATGGCAGTCCTCCACAATGTAGTTTTATAACTTTTTGCCACGCAAAACCACATTGTGGAATCACCTTCCAGCAATGGTATTTCCGAACCGATACGATATTGGAACCATCAAGAAAAGAGCTTATTCCTTTTTAAAAGGCCGACAATGTACTTGCAATTCCTCTGGTACTCATGGGCGGCGGTAATTACTTACCATCAGGTGAGCCGCATGCTCATTTGTCCCCTGTGTTATATAAAAAAAAGACAAAGTACTTACCTTTTGCACTTTGTACAAAGTCAACATCCGTAAAAACTATGTTACTTCTAGCTCTTTCATATATTCCATAAGTTCCCAATAATTTCACATAGACATAAGAGTAATGAGAGAATATTTGACTAATTGAAATTTCAACCGGTTTATTATGTGTTATTATTAAAAAATGGCACCTAAAGGTCCTTTTCT